GCAGACAAATAAACAGACTGGGACTTTTGACTGGAAAATATTGTATTAGGCAAGTAATTTGGTCATATGAATACATTTGTCAATTGTGGAACTTTCGTAGAGTTAGATAAATTTCCTTTACACGTTATTTTCGATTTGGAATAGGAGTCCTAATTTGTTTGTGTAATTGTGTACAAATATGCTAGTAATTGAAAAAAAAAAAAAATGAGAAATATTTGGCCACCAACTACTTGTCAAATATTTTCTGGAAGTTCATTGGTGGATTTTTCAAGCTGCAATTTAGGTACTTTCGCCCAACTTTTTTCGGCGATTTTCCCGTAAGTTGTTCGATCAAGTCAATAATCTGGTAATTAATGAATTGGATAATAACTAAACCAAAAGAGTACTAAAAAAATTAGACTGTTTGATAACTATATAAAATTAAAAGATATTAATTAGTTAAGACTTATCTCAAACACATGCCTAAGTTTTAAAAATATATATATCAAACGTGCATGGAAACATAATATATATTTAGACACGTATATTACAATCATAGTTATTGGACATGGACGGATCATTAACTTGGACAAAATAGGAGTCATCGAGTCAGTTGTTTAATGATGGTGATTTAATACGAAGCTCCTATTTTAATTTAAAAAATAATATTTCTTGAATATAAAGGGGAAAAAAAAAAAAGCTCAAGTACATAATATTCTTGCAACTCATATCAAATATAATTTTAGGGTACCATTAGTTCATTCACAGTTTTTATATATGTATTCTACTCTATAAACATCTCTATTAAAAGAAATTTTAACAAAATACTATTTTCATCCACGTCAAGTTCCAATTTTGTCTTTATTAAATTTATTCATTTAAACACTATAAATCCATACAAATTTTGTTTATTCATTCCACTATAAATACATTCCTATAAAATTTCGAAAATAACAATATTCATCCAATCACTATCAACGTTTAATCTAATTCTTACCTTTTATTTTCTATATTGTATTGTCAGTACTTTACTATTCTGTTATAAAGGTTAGCAAATTTCTTTTTTGAATTTATAGGATTCTCTAAAAAATATACTGCCCATGCAACCAAGCAAATCCTTCATTGAATTATATATTATTATTTTTTTTTTTTGGCCTATAAAATCATAGTTTTGATTGTTTGTGTTTCAATTGATAAGTTTAAGTTTGTTTCGTTTTATAATTTAAGAATATTTAACAAGTATTGAAACTTATTTTGAAATTTCTCGTATATTTTCATCTATCAAATCAATACTTCAAAAATGAAAATTATAACTCTAATACTGTGTTGATTTTTTATTTTTTTGAATTTCCATTGAAGATGATATTTTATGATTGGGGTTTTATGATTTTAATTAAAGATAATGTTTTATAATTATTAGAATTTTAGTCAAACACAAACTCTAAAAGAATATAAAAAGGCTGAAAAGAATTTATGAAAATAAACATTAACGGATGAATTTAGAACAATATATTTTTATTTAATTTTATATATGTCTATTTAGGTAAATTAATATAAGACAAAAAAAAATATAATATAATTTATCATTTTAAAAGTGGATGTATATATAAAAATCGTGGACCCTAAATTTAAGTTCATTTCTTATTTAATGTTATCTTAGTATTTTATAGTTGTGCCGACATTAGTGCTCATTTTTTCGAATAACACAATCTATTGATGTTGAGTCTCACATCTTTAAATAAATACTCCAATAATTAATAACATTTGACATTTTCTATAGGCATAATTTAGCTCCCATTTGATGGCCATTATTATGTTAAAAAAAAAAAAAAAATTCGAAAATCTATTTTTTGGAGAATCGCATGGTTAAAAAGTGGGAAAAAATTTGATTTCGTACAAAATATTTGATTGTGTGAATATGTAGTTAAAAATGAATATGAGAAATAAATTGTTTTGTTTTAAAAGGAGTCAAACAGGGGTTTAATATTCTGCTGTCTAATAATTAGTACAAAATATAAAGAAAATTAGTAGAATCATGTTCCTTGAAGAATCATCTCTCTAGGGTAGTATGTTTCTCCTGTATTGTCATTATCATGAACTGATCATCACGAATTGTATACCTCAAACTCGAAGTACCTTATTAGTTCCAACTCGGGTGAGATTTTAAGTCAAGAGGAGAAATACATGAGTGAAGGGCATGCAATTTATCTTTATTAGACAAAGAGATTCATCGGTTATATCTTCTTTGCCTTCTATTCCTGATGGTGTTGTGATGATGCATATGCTATGGGATTTTCATCCGGTACTTTCTCATAGACAATTTGTTGCTCTTCCTTGTATTTAAGACATTGGATGATGAATTGAGAGTTGACCAATGAAAGTTGATTCTCTATCAAGGGCGGATCCAGAGCTTTTGTATTATAGGGTCAAAAATTAAAATGCAATTTTTTTAAAACAAAATAATATTAATAAAAATAAGTCAATACACTACTACAATTGTAGTCTCTTTGAAAATGTCATATAATTATATCAATATCAATATTTTCAAATGGATTTTGTTACTTGTATAGTTTTGTTTACCACCTTATCGACAAATGCTGAGCCAATGGCGAGTAAATTAAGTTAAACATACGAAGTAAATGAATAGAAATAAAATTCAAATTCAATCTAGAAAGTAAATGAAACTCAAATTTAGGCCCTATTTGGTTCCCATTTTTTCCTCATTAAAATGGAAAATATGACAGTTATCCATCATATCAAACCACCGAATTTGAATTTCTATCTCTTGTGTGGAACCCGTAACGATTATATTTTTCATTCTTATTCTTTCAAAAATAAGAAACAAACGGGGGCTTAATTAGAAAGTAATCAAATTACATTTAATCTATAACAATCCTAAATTTTTTTACGTCATACTCTATGTAAAATTTGCTAATAAAACGATGTAAATTATATTGAGAAATTTGTTGGACAAAAATAATAAATGTCAATGAAATAATTAAAAAATTTTAAAGAAAAGACGGGTTAGACGTCTTTTTAGAGACGTGTGTTTGACGCACGTTTTACTATTTTCAATATTCGTTTGTCACTTGATATGATTATAATGTAGTTCTCGAAAGAGTTTCTAAGTGACGTAGGTGATTTGTAGATTCGGTCAGAGTAAGATCATCGGCAAATTTTTAAAGTTAGCATATTATCAAAATTCTCTAAATACTAGTTTGGAATGAAATATTTTGATGCGCCATAACTTTTGCTACAATTGGCCATTTCACACGCCATTAATGAGTGAAAGCCTATTCCGTGAACACTTTGAAATGACATTATAATGCAATATTTTGATTTCATTTGACATCATGTAATGAGTGTCAAAGTAAGACGTGAAAGAAACGCCAAAAATAAAAATAAAAATTAATGACATCCACATGACCCCAAGTGGGTCCACCCATGTTCTCTATCAATTGCATCTTGTAGCTGGGAACCTGATATCTCCTCTTAAACATTGCTATAATTCATGGATCCATCAGTTGAATTTTAAAATTTGTGTTTGGAGAAGAAGATAAACCTTCACATTTGTAAGAGCAAATCCCTTACTACATGTGAAGGAGCATTGTTCAGGAAAAGCAAAACTCTAGGGTTAGCATATGGTATGATGATGAATATATTAGTATGATGAAAATTTTCTTACTACGGTTAGCATATAATATGATGATGAAGCATGTAGTGAAATTAACAAATATACATGAAATTATTTTGTCGTTTGAGTATATGTTAATAAGTAGTATATAAATACCAACAAAGAGGACATTATTTGCAAGAAAAAGAAAAACGAGTTACCTTCTATCTGTCACCAGTCCACGACCACAAATTTTATGAAACACATTGTATTGACTAATAAAAATATCTAAACAATGAACGTGTCTACTTTTTCTCTTCCCAAGTCTCATGAACAAAATCAGGAAGAGAAATCATGACTTTTCGCGTAGATAATAAAGAAATAAAAGTCAAGAAAAGAACCAAGCCAAAATGTATTCGCACGTGACTACGTAGAATTCACACAACGCCGGCCAAACTTATTGGAAAAAACTATTTAGCGAAATAATATACAAGTTAGGAGGAGTTATCAAAATTTGTCCCAAAATTGACTTTAGTGTTGACAAAAATGTTAGAATTTGGGTGTGACCTAAATTCTTTGACGAAAATAATTAAAAGTTCTAATTAAATTGTACATTAAGAGAAATTCTAATTGGAATGCTTTTGGAATTCTATTTCGAAATCTATTGATAAATTATTGTTGAAATTCTATTTGAAAGTCTTACTGAGAATTGGAATTTGTGTTGGGCTTAAAGAGATCAAGATAAGAAAATTTTGGAGCATTCTATTTCATCTACAACTCTATTTTTATGGCTTGGATTGCCCCTATATATATATTTGAATCTTCTTCCAGTTTATTTATTGTTGAAATCGAATTTTTCTCTCCATTAGTTGTTAATTAATAAAATTACTGGTTCTTCTGCCAATCTTTCTTCTTATTTTTAGGCCCCATTTGGTATATATTTTTTTCAAAAGGTATTTTTTTCTCTCTTCTTTTCAACCACACATTCTTCATTAAAATAATATTACACATAAATAAAAAACTTTTCTTTATTTTTCAACCACACATTTTCCATCAATTTATTATTCCAAAATATATTTTTACACAAAAATGGCTTCCAAACACCCTCTTAGTCTTATTTTTACTTATGCGATCAGTACTTCTTATCCTGCCATAGATGCCTCCCTATTTTTTTCCCAATAAGTGATATCAAAGCTATTGATTCCAAATATTGTTCAAGGTTTCTGTTATCGACAGCAGTCATGAAATATGAAAATTTCACTTTTGGATGGCAAAACAAGATTTTCATTGTACCAAGTGAATATGTGAGTTGTTTTGGCGCAGATGAATTTGTATGATGTGTTGTTAAGATTTTACAAGATGCCCATAACTTGGACAACAAATGGGAAGCAACGGAAGGATCGGAAGGCACTTTCGTAGATTCATCTTCATCTACTTAACAACATTCTTCAGAACGTTTTGAAGGAGAAGACAGCAACTGCATTATGGTTAAAGTTTGAGCAATTGTGCATAACCAAAAGTATGATAAGCAAATTGCCTTTGAAGTAGAGGCTATATTCTCATCGCATAGCAGAAAGAGAGTCTTTGAAAGACCATCTAACCGTGTTCAAGATCATCGCTGATTTGGAAATGTTAGAGATAAAATGTGATGAAGAGGACTTGGCCTTGATCCTGTTGTGCTCACTGTCTTCTTCGTTTTCATTGTTCAAGGACACGATTTTGTATAGCCGTAACACACTTACCACTGAAGACATGTATGATTCCTTATTCTCAAAAGAGAAAATGAAGCATTTGGTTGGAGTTGAGTCTAGAAGTGGAGAAGCTCTTTTAGTTTATGGTGATCGACAAAAGAGTAAATTGAGGGTGAATTTCAACAATCAAGTTTGTTTCTATTACAAGAAGAAATGACACATTAAGAGAGATTGCGAAAAATTACAGAATAAAGGTAATTCGACTATAAATCATGGGAAACGATCAAACAATTCGAACGAGACCAACATAGTTGAGGCCTATTTAGATGATGAAGATGTGTTGACTAATTCTGACATGAAATCCAAGCCTGAAGAGGAATGAATTTTGGATACATCTTGTAGCTTGTGTGTTCCATATGTGTCCCAATGGGGATTTGTTAGAAGCATTGATTACTCCCAAAGAATAACGCGGTGATTGTAGTACAGCTTTGGGGTGTCGTATCCACAGGGAGATGAAAAAATTCTCAAAAGATCAAACAAACTAGGGTTTTCGTAATTAAATGTGGGAATGATTTGTCACTTGAAATAAAAATTAATTATCAATATGCGAATTAGTGAAGCGTCGGAGTTCCCCCATTGGATTGGATCAATCAACATCAATAATTCATGTATTTTTACTCAATTAGAGGTTTTCTTCCCAACTCTCTAATTGGAAGATTTAACAGTGAAGTCCAATTTTATTCCAATTATGTTTTTAGAATCTAGATTTTCTATAACACATTCGCACATTTTTATTGGAACAAGATCAAAAATCGATCATATACGTCAGGCATAAGGCAGTAATCAATCCGCCAATAAAGTGATATTAAGATTAAAATTCAACAATTATTTCAATCATTCGATAGAAAGAGCATGGCTAGATCTATGAAGGATTTGATAAAAGTTAAAATAATCTCAACAATAAGTAATTTAAATTGAAACTCAACAAATAATTTAATTTAACAATGGAAAAAGCATGACTGAATCCATGAGAAATTTATTAAAAGTTAAACAAATTTCAATACTAATTCATAACGAGAAAATCTAAATCTAGAAATTATTAAGCAAAGAGAGTTCGAATTACATGAAATTATGATGTGAAATCTCCAAATCCTTAGTTTTCCATGGAGTTTCTTGAGCACCAAGATGAAAGAAATAGGTCTGGGGGCGTCTCCCTTCGTTCTAGGTGGTTTTGGGCATTTATATCCCATGAAAATTAAGTTACCATAAGAGATTCAATCGTATAAGAAAATTGAGATTCAACCGCCAAAAAATATACTATGCGATCGCATGGTTATTGTCATTGCGGCCGCATGGTTATGCACTTTCAGCCTCTTCAATTCTCGGTATAGGTGTGTGCGACCGCATAGTAGAAAGGCATGCGGCCACATGGTTCCGCCAGACAGCTTTTAGTGTTTTAATCATAAATTTCTTTCCCAATATCCAATTGAGGTGATTCAAGTTGAATTGGATAGATAACTCAAAGGGCCACAATTTTTATTCAGAAGTCATCTCCCAATTCGATCATCTTCCATGTCAAAAATGGGTCCCAACATGAGACTAAAAACTGGTGTGTTGGTTTTCGATTGGAAATTGATGTATTGATCAAACTTTGATGTTATTTCATCCCTTTGACTTCGTTCCTCATCCACTTGACCTCTAACACTTTCGAATCTTCATCATAATCTTGGACACAAGTTTGGATCATTTGCACTTTAGTCCTTGAACTTTCATTCTCTTCTACTTTGGTCATTTTTCACTTGTTTCTTCCGAATTTAATCTTTTTCACCAAAATGCAACCTAAACCAAAATATAAGAGTAATGAGTGCATTTTGGCATAATATAATCACATGAATGCAATAGTTAAGAGGGGAAAATATGGTATTTTACACTCTTATCAAGCATATAACCTAGTGTCGCACTGCATCGTTGTCATGGGAAATAACGAACATTGTTGTATAGTTGGTATTGGTAGGGTCAGATTGAATTTGACAGATGGGACAATTAAAACACTTGGTTAGGTTCGACATGTTCTAGATTTGAAGAAGAATCCCATCTTGCGAAGTACCCTTAATTCGAAAGGTCATGAGTTCTCTAAAGGAGGTGGAGTTTTGAAGGTCTGAAAATGGTATCTGTGTTGTATTGGAGGGATGGAGGAGGTCCCAGTTATACATCTTGTAAGATTGTGCAGAATTGATGAAGAATTATCGGTACAGGTTTAGTATCATGGTGGATATACAGTTTAATACAATACCTTTGAAATTGGGCTCTGGGTCCATATTGAAGAATACTACTCATTCGAGTTTGAGGGATATGGATACTTCCACTTTGCCACCATTTATCACGATTCCATGTATTCAATTGCTAGGAATAGATCAATTGGAGCTAGGTACGCGATACTGATTTGGCTGCGCATGCTTTTCGTGGTTTTGAAGGTGTCGAGACTAGCAAAGGGCCTTCAGTTAAAGCATTTGGACATTTGCTACAGGGTGTGCTTTAATTCTGTTTGGTAAATTTTGAATTCCTTGTGGAAATTTTAGGAACCCGGTTTGTGAGTTCTAGTATCATTTGTGGATATTGTGAAAAATGAAGAGTAATTTTTCGTGAGGTGGAGAAGTTTGATTCTGGTTGAAGAGTTTAGTCTATTTCATTATAGTCGGATTTATTTTTCTAGGTGAAGAAATTTTGGAGCTTCGTTCGTTGCATCGAAAATTCATGTCAAGGAGGAGATTATTAGAATTTGAGTGTGACTCGAGTTCTTAGATGAAAATAATTGAGAGTTCTAATTAAAGTGCACATTAAGAAGAATTCTAATTGAAATGCTTTGGAATCCTATTCGAAGTCTATTGACAAATTCTAGTTGAAGTTCTATTTAAAAGCCCTATTGGAGTTAAAATTTGTATTGGACTTAAAGATATCAAGATAAAAAAACTTTTGAGTCTATTTCATCTACAATTCTGCTTCTAGAGCTTGGATTGTCCATATATATATACACACACACACACACACACGTAAGGAAATGTGGCACAATGATGTGGCTGTTTTGACCTGCTGATTGGACCAGCTGCTCATGGACTTTGACTGACTTCTCTACTAAATGAAAGTGAATCGAGTAGGCTGAAAAGAAATTGATGGTTTTGAATTAAAACGTATTTTCAGCAATACGTTTTTTACTAATGAGCTAGACCAATTTGATGATGACAAGTGTCACCTTTATGGCCATTGGATGGAATTATTCTGGAGACTTCCTATACTGTTCTCTTGAGTCTAGGGTTGGCAGATTCTTCATTCCTCTTGATCTCTTGGTTTCTCTCTCTAAAATCTTCATAATTTTCGAGTGCCATATTTTTCTTTCACAAATCTGTGTAGAAATCATTTAGTTGTTGATTCTACTTTGTGAAATCGTATAATACTAGTCTTGGGTGATTTGTATACGGACCGATTTCACATTATTGTTCTTGAGTGAACTGTTGAGGCAATATTGTGAGGGTTATTGGTAATCTTGAGTGATTCTTGGCTTGGGACTCAGATCTATAACTGTTGGACGGTTCATGATTCTAGTTAAATGCAATGAATTCTTCTGATGGTGGAAACACAAAAGGGGATTAGGGACTCCGATTTTGAACATCTTACCTTAGGGCGAAAATTCTTGTGTTATTTACATTTCTTTAAGTTTATTTTGTGCATTATGAATTCTAGTTTTGTTGATTGAAGTGTCTAATAATTTGTGAACTACTCGTTACAGTGGTATCAGAGCTTGTATTCGGTGGTTCTTGGTGCCAGTGTTGGTAGATCTGAAAAAATCTTGGACTTGTTTAGTAGATTTAGCTTGTTTCTTGAGACCCTAATAAGGGGTTCTTGGTGAGTTCATTCCATTTATTTCGAGTTACAGTATACATTACTTGTCTATAGCCTGTGACCCTTGCAACTATGGCAAAATTTATAAATCGAAGACTCCTTGATAGTTCCTTTGTCCAGAAACCGTGAGTTGTCTAGAATCTGAGGGCTATCTTGAATAAAAGTCGACGGTTTAACATTTATTTTATGATTCTTGCAAGTATCATGTATAGAATTTATAAAGCATGCTGTGATTATGTTACTGTGACTTGACGTGTTGCTATTTTTGAGTAAATTGCTTATTTTGTAATTGAATGAACTGCTGAGTGTTTCTGCTAAATAATTCGTAATATACAACTTGTTGGTTGTACACTTTATATTGATTATTGTGTATGACATTTGAGATACTGCATGTTGTAGCTATTGTTCAAAATTTATGTGATCTGTCTGCACTGTTAAAAATCAAATTGTGTTTTGATTATGTCAACTAAAGTTGAATTGGAAATCTTTAATGGTAAAGGAGACTTTAGTCTCTGGTGCCAGAAAATGCGAGCACTTTTATTTCAATAAAAATGTGCAAAAGCCATTGATGAGTCATGGCCTGATGATATGGGAAAAACTAAGATAACTGGACTTGATGAAATTGCATGGAGTTCTATATTCTTGCATTTGTCTGACAATGTGTTAAGAGAGATTGGTCAGACAAAAACTCTGCTAAGTTGTGGAAAAAATTGGAAAATACTTATTTGAATAAAACCATGCCTAATAAAGTGTATCTTCTAAAACAATTTTTTGGTTTCAAATTGGACACATCTCTCGATCTTGAGGCAAACATTGATAGATTCAACAGATTATCCCGTGATCTAGACGACTGTGATGAGAAACTCTCAAAAGATCAATTGGTTGTGGTTTTGTTAAATTCAGTAGGTGATAAATATAGAGATGTTAAAAATGCTATTGAATATGGAAGGGAGACTCTAACTACTGACGTGATAATAAATGCAATGAGAAACAAAGAGTTAGAGGTAAAATCTGAAAAGAAAGAATCTATTAGTGGTGAAAATTTGATGGTTAAGCCCAAACCTAATTCAAACCCAAAGATGGCCATTTTTAATAAGAAACCTGGACACAAGAAGAAGGTGAACTTAAAAGATAAAATGAAAAACAAGACTAAGGGTAAAATATGTTTTTATTGTCTAGATGAATGTCATTTTATCAAAGATTGTCATAAGAGATTTAATGACTTGAAAAATAAGTCTAATAATGATGGTGGTGCTACATTGTTTTATAAAAATGAGTACAATGTAGACGAGGTTTATGTTGCTACACACAGTTCACCTAGTCAAGAGTGGATCCTTGATTCAGGTTGCACCTTTCATATGCGTCCTAAAAGAGAGTGGTTTACTGAGTTTGAAAATGTAAATGGAGGCCAAGTGTTAATGGGTAATCACATGTCTTGTTAGGTAAAAGGAATAGGAAAAATCACCTTAAAGTTTGACGATTATAATAAATTGACTCTAGAAAAAATCAGGTATGTTCCTGACTGATAAGTGTATTTTATATACTTATTCAGGACTCTAAAATAGTGATATTTGATAGTCTTTTGACAAAATACATTCTAAATTGTTATGTTTTACGTTTAATAGGTGAAACTCTACGAATAAAAAGGAATGGAAGGAAAGAAGCAAAAAGGACGGAAATAGCAAAATCCAAAGTATGTGGATTAAATTGGCCATTGGATGCAATTTTTGGGAATCAAAGTAACTATAAAAATGGAAGGACTGAATTGCTTTGCTTTGAAGATTGAGTACTTGGAGAGAAATAATTGATTAATGGGCCTCAATTGGACATGCCTTGGAATTCAACTTTAATACTTAATTGGACTTCCAATTGGGTTACAACTAAAAGGGCTGTATGGGGATGAATTTGGGTTTCTTTTTGGTCAAGTTAGTTGGCTAATTTCAACTATATATACATGCACTTACAGAAACTTCCCTAGCCTCCTGGCACTCCAAGGAAAGAAATATCTTTTCCGGGTCACCCCCTTCCCCTTGTAAGATCAAGGAACAGAAATGACTACTATCCATATCATATTAACTGGGGACTGATCCCGGGACTGGGATTGCGACTAGAAAAAGCTCTCTGGGGAATTAATAAGGCTGCTTGCGGCTGAAATATATATACAAGTTGGCCGGCTACTGGGGAATTAATATATACAAACAGAAAGCAGTAAATTGGGGGGAGAGAACGGCAGCTTGGGAGAAAACATTGAAACCCTGTTCTTTGTTTTGTTTTGGAGAGAAAACTGCCGGCTGGAGTTAAAAACATTAGGCTGCCAAACTGTTGGAAAGAATTAAAGGGCTGCCGGCTGCGGATGTATTCTATTATTTATAAACATACATTGGTGCCGACAGATTGGAGAAAATAGGAGGCAGAACCTGGTGGAGAAAAAGGCACAACTGCCGGCTGAAAAACAAGGGAGAAAGAAAGGGAAATCTGGCTGGAATTGAAAGTCAAAGAAAGAGGCTGGAAAGTATATATGTTTATATATTCATGCACATGCAAAGGCAGCAGCTGGGTATTTTCTTTTATTTTGGTGCAAGAGCTTGAAGATTAATTATGTCCCGTCGATTTTCGGTGATTTCCTTCCACTCTTATGTGTTCAATTCCAACAGTATGCTAGGCTAATTTTTCTCACGTATTGGATGATGACAAAATTGTTTAATTACTAGTTTTAATTCGAGACCTATGTTTTTATGTTAATTCTTGCATTGTGATTTCATTGACATGCATCTTTATACTGTTTTAATGTTTGCGCGCCATTAGAACAATAAGTTGCTTATTCGTTGTGTTGGAAAACTCACGGTAGGTAGAACACTGTTGATGTAACACACGGGCAATAAATATTAGGAATAATATTTGTGGCATGTGCGATCATATGTGATAATCCTAGATGTCAATGCATGTTCACCATATGAATTCGGACTAGGAATAGAATCGTCTCGTGGTAAACATAGGTTTATTATATCTTGGAAAAGAATAATAAATAATAGTGGATTATCGATCATCATAATTGCATAATTTGAGATAATTATCACTGGTTGAGAATTAGAACTAAGAATTGATCAGTGGCGTCGGTAATCAATATGTTCACACGTTTGAATTTTTTTTTAAAACCAATTTTAATTATTTTCACAAGTTTTAGATATAGAAAAATTCTTTAGCTATTCCTTCGATCGTCCTTTAGTTGCAAACACGAATTCAATTATATCAAATATACTAAAATTAATCATTATTCCTCGTGGGACGATAACTCTCTCATCACGATTATTACTTGCCAACGAACCCGTACGCTTGCGAGAATTCGACGAACACTGACCTACAAAGAAATCTCATATCCTTAGGTGTCCTAGATGACCTGAACTATAATATTGTGATTAACAAGGGATACATTAAAATCTTGAGGGGCTCTCAACTCGTTGTCGAAACCCCTAGGAGACATGGGCTTTACATTTTACACACTCAAAACTTCTTTGACTCCACATCAGCAGCAATTTCTGCCCCCAATGATATGTCACAACTATGGCATAAAAGATTGGGCCATATTAGTGACAAAGGCTTGCAGATTTTGAAAAAACAAGGTGCCTTGGTAAAGATGTAATTGAGAAACTCAATTTTTGTGATCATTGCATACTTGGAAAGCAAAATAAACTACCATTTCTGCCTGAGATACATAAATCTATGTATATTCTTGAGTATTTGCAAGCTAATCTTTGGGGACCAGCTTCTATGGCCACACACACTGGTTTCATATTTTTCCTTTTAATCATAGATGATTTTTTTAGGAAAAACTGGCTCTTTCTACTTAAACATAAGTCTGACAATTTTAATGCTTTTAAAGAATGGAAAATCTTGATTGAAAATCAAACAAATAAAATGATTAAAGTGTTGATGACTGATAATGGGCTTGAGTTTTGCAATTATGAGTTTGATGAATTGTGCAAATTGCATGGCATTTTGAAACACAAAATAGTGACACACACCCCACAACAAAATGACTTGGCTGAAAGAATGAATCGAACTATTTTTGAAAGAGTTAGATGTATGTTACTAGGTTCTGGTCTTCTCAAGTTATTTTGGGGAGAAGCTGCAAAAACTGCTAATTATCTCATAAATAGAAGTCCCGCTAGTGCTATACAATTCAAATCACTTGAAGAAGTTTGAAAGTTTGAATAGGAAAACTCGTAGATTTGAGAAATCTAAAAATATTTGGTTGTGCAGCATTTGCACACCAATCTGAAGGAAAACTTGAACTTAGAGCCCTAAAGTGTGTTTTTCTTAGGATATGATGAATGGGTATAGACTTTGGGTAAAAGAGACCAAAGGTTATAAGATTATTTTGAGTAGAAATGTGGTGTTTAATGAATCCAATATGCCTTGTTTGAGATCTAAAAATAACATAACTGAATCTAGTCAGACTGAAAATGAAGGGACAGAAATTGAAATCGAGGTGGAGCAAGTCAATAATGATAATCTACAACCTCATCAGATTGAAAATAGTGAAATTGTGGTTCAAAATACTAATGAAACTGATCTGAATGAATCTGATTTTGAAGTAAATCAACATTTAAATGATTATCAACTGCTAGAGATAAAGAAAGGAGAAAAATAAGACCACCGGTGAGGTTTGATGATGAAATGTCCCTTCTTACTGTTCAGGGGTTCATTGAAAATGAACCCGAGTCCTATAAAGATGCTATGAATAGCAAGGACTCTAAGCATTGGCTAGCTGCAATGCATGATGAGATGGAATCTTTGAGGAAGAATAAAACTTGGACCTTAGTCAAGAGACCTAAGAGAAAGAGAGTTATAGATTGCAAGTGGATCTATAAGATCAATAGAGGTGAAAAAGATGAGAACGACATTATATATAAGGCAAAACTTGTGGCTAAAAGTTTTGCTCAAAAGGGGGGGATAGACTTTAATGAAATATTTTCCCCCGTTGTAAAATTTACAAGTGTTAGAGTCATACTTGCTCTTGCAGCTCAATTTAATTGGGAATTGGATCAATTAGATGTAAAAACTACGTTTTTAAATGGAGATCTTGAAAAAACCATTTTTATGGAACAACCAAAAGGCTTTGAAGTGAATAAAAATTCTGACTTAGTTTGCCTTCTTAAAAAGTCACTTTATGATTTAAAACAAGTTCCAAGACAATGGTACAAGAGATTTGACACTTTTGTACTTGGACTTGATTTTAAAAGATGTAATTTCGATACTTGTCTTTATTGTAAAGGAAATGGAGGTGAGAATTCACTCTATCTTTTACTTTATGTAGATGACATGATTTTAGCTAGTCATGGCATAAAGGAAATAAAGTTAATTAAAGACAAACTAAAATCTGAATTTGAAATAAAGGATTTAGGTCCTATTAGAAAAATTTTGGGTATCGAAATTAAAAGAAATAGAAGAGAGGGCATAATAAGTCTAAATAAAAAATCTTATACTTTGAAAATACTTGAAAGATTTGTAATGTCTAATGTTAGAAGTGTGAGTTTACCTTTAGCAAATCACTTGAAATTATCTAATGACCAATCTCCTAAAACTGAAGAAGAATTCAAAAGAATGGCTAGAGTGCCATATTCTAATGCTGTGGGGTCAGTTATGTATCTAATGATCTGTTCTAGGCCTGATTTGGCATTTGCAATAAGTGTATTGAGTAGATACATGTCCAATCCTAGTGAGGTTCATTGGGAAGCTATGAAATGACTTCTAATTATCTAATGACCAATCTCCTAAAACTGAAGAAGAGTTCAAAAGAATGGCTAGAGTGCCATATTCTAATGCTGTGGGGTCAGTTATGTATCTAATGATCTGTTCTAGGCCTGATTTGGCATTTGCAATAAGTGTATTGAGTATATACATGTCCAATCCTAGTGAGGTTCATTGGGAAGCTATGAAATGACTTCTAAGATATATAAAAGGAACTTGTGATCTAGGAATTGAGTATAGAAAGCAATCTGAAGGTATTATCTTGAGGGGTTACACAGATTATGATTATGCAGGCGATAGGGACAATAGAAAATCAACTTCTGCCTATGTGTACACTTTATGTAATTCCTGTATAAACTGGAAA